AACTCACGACCCCTGGTTTACTAGACCAGTGCTCTGCCACTGAGCTAAAGAGCCTCACAGTTTTGTTCTTCGTAAAGTGGCAATTGAAATACGTGGCTTTTTATTAACATCTACTTTTTACAGAATTTTACTTATAAGGATAATGGAAAACTGTTATCAAATTATTGCATTGTCATCGGTCCTTGATACGTGTGCGAAGTTTCAGGTTAATCAAACTGGCAATTGGTGAAAATTATGCCCAAAGATTCCGTTACATACGTACAGGTCAAGCTAATAAAAAAAATAAAACTGTCGAATTTTTATTCCTGGGAGAAAAATTAAAAAAGTTGCTGATTTGTGGTGTATGAAAAGCGATTCAGGTACGGATGACTACGAAATCTCTAAATTTTGATTTTTTAATAGATAGGTTATGTTTTAATGAAAGCAGTCAGTATTTTGAGCTACGTTGTAAAATAGTGTTACGGAACTTACCGATTTTTCGGTAGTTCTAAATATATAAAATCAGCACAGCCTACTTTGTGGTAGATACAAACGCTTTCAATGACAATATTTTTAATGTCTATACTGAAAATTCGATGAATCTTCGAACTCCATAGCCCGACATAGCTTCAATGCACCGGAACTCAAAAGGGAGTAAATTCTCGGTTTGGAAATGATCGAAGAGCAGGGGGGGGGGGCGAGCATCACATGCTGAAATGCTGTTAGTTGAAAAACTGAAACTGAACGCGGGATTGCACCAAATTCCTGTAATCAGAAATTCCAGCGGGGGGGTGTAGGGGGGTTGAGGTAGCATCAAATGCTGCTATTTAGAAAAGAAGAGCGGGTTGTACCATGTCGAAAATTAAGGAGCGGGGGTGCATAAGTGCTCTCTTCTTGTATTTTGTTGAATTGAATTATATCATAAATTTACTAATTAACAGTTTGAAAGATTTTTCGGTAGATTTCACTTTATAGTCGGTAGAATAGGACTGAAATATTTGTAGATCTACGATATGACTTTTTTCTAGCAACTGTCTGTTTCTTTGTGAGCCAGGCAGGCATAAAGCGGGTACGCTTCCACCTTCCACTTTTGTAAGAAAAAATTATACAGGCTGTCTGCGAAAGGTTGGGAAATCTCGAAACTGCAAACCGTAATATGTGAATTGACCTAAACATGCCTTAGTCCAAAAGTTGATAGTTTGCGAGATACAGGGTGTCAAAGTTACAATTTTATTTTTTAATTCTTCCTTATTGCTTTTGAAGAATTTCATATTTTGGTATAAAACTCGGTATAAGGAAGTTTTCTAGTATGAGAAACAAGAATCCGTTAATTTTTATGGCCAAACTTCTACAGGGCGCCACTTACCGCACTATTTCAGTAGATAACTTTTTTGTGCTACCCCGTATCGAAAAATCTTATTTTGTCGTATTTCCACAATAAAAAAGATCCACTTGCTAGAAGTGTCTAAAGCTAATGGTTTTCGAGATATTTGTTTTTAAAGAATTACATCTTGTCAATCCGTACTTTAAATGCATATCAGAATATTCATCAAACGTGTACTCCATGATGTTTAACAACTTATTGTCAACTTAAAATTAATTAATATTATGACAAACATTAGAAACCATAGTAACGCTACTCAGATATTATCCAAAGCAACTTGATTATTATGTTATAAAAATGCTTTATCATTCATCATGGTATGAATAATACACTGGAACTTTTAAAAACAAACTATTAGCTTTAGACACTTCTAACAAGTAAACCTTTTTTGTTGTGGAAATATGAGAAAATAAGATTTTTCTGTCAGTTGTTGTATACAGGGTAGCACAAAAAAGTTATGATAAGCTATTTACCAAAATATTGTGGCGCCCTCTAGAAGTTTGGCCATAAAAAATAACGGATTCTTGTTTCTCATACTAGAAAACATCCCTATACCGAGTCTTATGCCAAAATCTGAAATACTTCTCAAGCAATATGGAAAAATAGAAAATAAAAATGTAACTTTGATACCCTGTATCTCGCAAACTATCAACTTTTGGACCAAGGTATGCTTAGGTCAATCCACATATTTTGGTCTGTAGTATCTCCAGTTCCGAGGTTTCACAACCTTTCGCAGACACCCTGTATAGATCACTACCAATACCAATTGACATTTGAAGGAAACATTTTGTTGATCAAAGGTATGGTAATATTTTATGAATAAACAGGATTATTTCTTTGATAAATGCATCGATATGAAAATTAGATCACGAGTGCCTTATTCATTTATTATTAATGTGGTTGCTCCCGCTGGATGCAGAACCTACGCCTCTGTTTCTAGATTGGTAACCGCATTATGAAGTGCTCATCGTAATTAAATGTTGGGCGCAGTGGCGTATTCAGTGGGGCTTTGGGGCTCTCGGACTCCCCCTTCCAATAACGCCACGGCTTGGTATATTTCTCTTTACATATTACATCAGTCAATACTTTTTGTGAAATGTAACCCCTCCCCTGGGCTATTTACAAAAATTAGGTTTCCTCCGTCTATCTCCGGAGTTACTTTGAATCTCGAAACTTTCTGAGCGGATTTTGTTGATTATCCAAATACACAACTTTGCTCTCATTCAAACAACTTCGCATAGTTACAGTTTCCAAGATACCAATGGTGAGGATTGAATTTAACACCCTGTATAGTGTTAGTAGTGGAAAAAATGTATACATACCTCCCACGATAAGGCTATTATTGATCGGGCACAATATATCCTTCACCGCTATGTGCCTTGGGATATAAGAGTGCTCGATTTATAATGTACCACTTCTTCTCCTAGGTATGTAGTATACTATTTCATGAGTTGAGCTTTGAGCGAATGGAATTTCATGGCAACAGAGAATTTGATGCATGTGTGATTCGTAGTTTATAAGATCACAGTGTTGGTTTTAAATTTCAATTCCAAATCGCCACGCCCAGACTTTCTTATTCATTATTACCTATTTATTATTTTCGTTTCTTGGTTGAACCAACGACTCCTGAAGTCATTCTCGATTATTTATCTACATAAACATTTTATAATAACTAATACGCGGGGTTCGCAGGTTATTTGAGATTAGGAAAGATTTGAATTTCGTACTAACAGTCCTCTACTGATACTAAGCAATCGTGTAATCTATCGCGTAAGGCCCTAAAAGCTTCAAAAGCCATAAACGCGATTATTAGGTGATAGGTATGGCAACTCGGCAACATTGGCGGCGTTGACGCAAGCGCAGACAAATTCAAAATCCACGCTTCTTCGTATGCTTTCGTGTATTCTCGGGTTCTACAAAGTGGAGATATGTAAGTAAAACTTTCAGTTATAATTAATTTCAACAATATTAAACGGTAATACACCAACTCAGCTCCAGTAAAGCCATGCAATTTGAGGTTATCACCGCTAGACAGAGGCCAAGTCGTCGAAAGACGATCAGAAGGTTTAAGATAGGGTTTGTTGTTACCTTCCAAGTTATTCTTAAAAGAGGCTCAGGTTTGACATTGCATTACTGGCATTATATGCACCCACTAAAATGATCATTTTTAGAGAGAAATGTTCCCCAAATGATATTATATACTTGTTAAAACTTGTATTGAGAGTAAGAAAATCTTCTCATATAAAGGGTGATTCAGAAAGCAATTGCATTACTTCAAGGGCAACAGTTTTCTATTATCCTTATTCATAAGTAAAATTCTGTAAATGCAGATATGTTAACGGATTTCAAACGCCGCTTTACGAGTAGTGAAACTGCAAGCCTCTGTAGCTCAGTGGCGGAGCACTGGACTTGTCAACCAGGGGGCCGATTATGGTACACTTTTTTTATTTTTTTAACACGATTTTTAACACGCTTCTATTAGCGTGGCCTGCTTGTATGTAACCGAATCTTTGAACAAAATTTTCACCAATTTCCAGAAGTTTGAATAAATCGAAACTTCGCACACGTATCAAGGACTGATAACAATGCAATAATTTGATAACAGTTTTCCATTATCCTTATTAGGACCGCCAGGATTGATAAATTTTTTTATAGATACTCTGTAGGGGAGTAAGAGAGATAGAGCTATAGCGCGATATGCGAAAAGAGCTGGAATCTAACATAAAGCTAAAAAAATGAGTTCTATTTAGTCTATGTAGTTTTATGTCCCATACGTCATACATAAACGTACACGTAGGCAGTCTGTCACACGATGTGGATTGCCTGCAATTCTGTACCCACTTCCTTTATTTTGCTTTCCCTATATTTGTTTTTGTATACAGCAGGTACCGACTGGTATATCACCGTCATTAATGTATCATCGGACAGCAGTAAGGGAACCACAGCTCATATGTATTTAATTGAATATTGAATTAAAATGTCAGGAAATGAGACTTCAAGTTCAGGGGTGAAATAGAAAAATATTCAGACTTGTATAAACAAGAATGGTAAAAGGAGTTTCAATGATGGTTGCAAAGGAGTTTAAGGAGCCACTAGATGTCCTCAGAAAAACCGGTTGCCTTTGTGTGCGCAAAACTAAAACATACTTTTTCTATAGAGGGCGCTGCGTGACACTAGCAGCAAGTCTCCATCGCTGAACTTGTCAGGGCCCTGATTTCCTTCTACCGATTTTGCCCTTGATTTTCAATGACACTGTCTACAAATGTCGTCCTTCAATACAACAAGTAAACATCATTCTAAACGTAAAATGTAAAATAAGCACACTCTTATGGCCTACTATGTGGTAGATACAAAACGGATTTACTTTTACCAGAAATGCATTTATCTTCTATATGCCTAATAATGAGTTATTACTCAAGATAGAATTACGGATGTATGTGTTACAGAAGTCTACATCCCCGTTTCCACTGTTTACACGGTGATAAAAGGTAAAGACCGTTGGATAGACCACTGAAAATAGGTGACAAAGATTACTGTAACACTTATACATAATGAGACGTCCAAAAACCCATTATCAAATTATCACAATGACCTGGCTGGCTGTAGAATACAAAGAACATTCAAGATTAGTGTCTTTATGTATTTTTTATATTACAGGGATTCGTTTAATCAGGGTGATAGACTCCGCTTACTGAAACTGGTAAAGATCGAGTACCGTAAGCTGAAGGTCAGAAGAGAAATCACTGAAGACCCTTGGGAGACCATACTCATCAATGTTCTATGGACCTCGTTTCCTGGCAATAGTACGGCCAAATTAATCGCGCAGTGGAAGCGGTTGACAGTAAGTTGACACATTTCACTAGAATCATTCGTGTGATTTGGCTACTTTGTGAGTTTATTTTTGTTACAAAAGTACTATGCAGACTAGATTAAACGTTTGAAAAACTAAAATCATATTTTTTCCAGAGCCCATATACCGTTATATACAAAAATTAAGGCTCTTAATAACGTTTATTTAAGGCTTAATATAGACTAATATCCTTTTCAAATGATTATTTTTTTAATGAATTTTCTGTAGACAAAATTCACATTTCTAAGACTTTTTTTAAATATGAACAAGAGATTGTTAAAAATATTCAATTTTCTGTAAATAAGGGTTTGTTCAACTTTTGAGAAAATTTATTAATTTTACGAATAACAAAAAACGAAAAACTCTTAAAAAAAGCCCTTGGCGCTAGCCCCGTCCCAACTGTGTATTTGAATTTAAAAGTTATATTGTTCAGCGACTTTATTTACATAAAGCGCGTTATGGTTTTTACAAAAAGATTTCTAGGAAAATGTTGTCTTTAATAATTTTAGACGTTTATAATCCCATTTTTTGTTTATTTCTCAAAAATCGAAAGACAGTTGTACTGTAGAGCCTTGACACAAAAGTGAGTATGTTATGCATTACCGTTTTTAATCACCTTTGTGTTTTGTTATGTATCTGCGAAAGGTTGGGAAATCTCGAAACTGGAGATACTGCAGACCAAAATATACTAAGTGACATATAAATCCGAACACCCAGTTTAAATGGTTTTATTTTAATAAAATTTTGTATCAGTACTTAAATGAACCATAATAAGTAAATGATAAAAATTTCAAAACGATTGCACTGCTTTAAAGCCCTTTGACCTTTAATAATGTGTGGATGCACCCTGATGTGCTACGCATTCTCCAACGCGCCTAGGCATGCTTCTGATCAGGTGGTCAATGTCCTCCTGTGATATCTCATTCCAGGCAACCACCAACTCCTCTCGAAGTGCTTCTAGAGTCTGAGGAGGACGTTGCAAATTGAGTAATCTCCTACCCATCATATCCCACACGTGCTCAATTGGGGATAAGTCGGGAGATCTTGGTGGCCATGGTAACAATGTGACATCATTATGTTGAAAGAAGTCTATTGTGACTCTTGCAACATGTGGTCGGGCATTATCTTGTTGGAAAGTTGGATCTGCCAGGGTGTCAAGATAGGGTAAAAGATGGGGTTCTAGAACTTCGCGGATATAACGCTGCGCGTTCATGTTACCTCTGATGAAGATTAAAGGTGACCTGGAACCATAAGCTATAGCACCCCAAACCATAACTCCAACAGTGTGATGAACATGTCTTTCAACAAAAAACTGCGGATTCCTCCTTTCACCACGTCGCCTTCTAACCCTGGCACGACCATCGTGCATGCCTAAACAACATCGAGGCTCGTCACTAAAGACAATACTGTTCCATTCCTAATCCCAGAGTGACCGTTGTCTGCACCACTCAAGGCGATTACGTCGATGTAAGGGTTAGAAGGCGACGTGGTGAAAGGAGGAATCCACAGTTTTTTGTTGAAAGACATGTTCATCACACTGTTGGAGTTATGGTTTGGGGTGCTATAGCTCATGGTTCCAGGTCACCTTTAATCTTCATCAGAGGTAACATGAACGCGCAGCGTTATATCCACGCAGTTCTAGAACCCCATCTTTTACCCTATCTTGACACCCTGGCAGATCCAACTTTCCAACAAGATAATGCCCGGCCACATGTTGCAAGAGTCACAATAGACTTCTTTCAACATAATTATGTCACATTGTTACCATGGCCACCAAAATCTCCCGACTTATCCCCAATTGATCACGTGTGGGATATGATGGGTAGGAGATTGCTCAATTTGCAACGTCCTCCTCAGACTCTAGAAGCACTTCGAGAGGAGTTGGTGGTTGCCTGGAATGAGATACCACAGGAGGACATTGACCACCTGATCAGAAGCATGCCTAGGCGCGTTGGAGAATGCGTAGCACATCAGGGTGCATCCACTCATTATTAAAGGTCAAAGGGCTTTAAAGCAGTGCAATCATTTTGAAATTTTTATCATTTACTTATTATGCTTCATTAAGTACTTATACAAAATTTTATTAAAATCAAACCATTTAAACTGGGTGTTCGGATTTATATGTCACTTAGTATATGTGAATTGACCTAAAGATACCTTAATCCAAAAGCTGATAGTTTGCGAGATACAGGATGTCAAAGTTACAATTTTATTTTCTATTTTTTCTTATTGCTAGAGAAGTATTTCACATTTTGGATGGTATAGGGAGGTTTTCTAGTATGTGAAACAAGAATCCGTTATTTTTATTGGCTTAGTAGCAACTCTACTCAGATATTAGGCAACTTGATTATTATGTTATGAAAAGGTTTTGTCATCATGGTACAAATAATGCATTGGAATTTATAAAAACAAATATCTCGACAACTATTAGCTTTAGACACTTCTAATAAGTAAACCTTCTTTATTGTGGAAATATAAGAAAATAAGCTTTTTGGGTCAGTTGTTGTATATAGGATAGCACAAAAAAGTTATTATAAGTCATATACCGAAATAGTGCTGTAATAACGGGTTCTTGTTTCTCATACTAGAAATATTGCTCGAGCAATAAGCAAAAATTGAAAATAAAATTGTAACATTGATGATGATGATTGTATCTCGCAAACTATCAACTTTTGGACTAAGGTATGTTTAGGTCAATTCACACATTTCGGTCTGTAGTACCTCCAGTTTCAAGATTTCCCATCCTTTAGCAGAACCCTGTATAGCCTCTTTTAATTTGAGGCCTTTGTTTTTGTCTTTCAAAAGGCTTTTAAAACTATTGCATACATTTCTACTTTCTTGGCAAGGGTCAGTCCAACTTAAAGTGGTCTGTCTATGGATGTCATCTACCTAAAGCTAAAGCACATTGTGTCACCCCCTATGATGAGAAAATACATCTGCTTTATTTACATTATGTTAAGTGGTTCGAGTGATGCTGAAAATGTGATAAATGAAGTGAGTCTGAGGTTGTACGTTGTATGAGCCTGTCCTTAAGATGCTAAGTCTAGCTAGATAAAGGCAGACGATCAGGCCAATGTGCCATCAGCTAATACGAAATATCATGCTTTGCCCTAGCTCTAGTGGAACGTTGATGCAGGTTACAACTTGAAAAATAAATAAAAATCAATATCATTGTGTTGAAATCGGTAGGTTTTTCAGTACATGGAAATGATATGAAATAGGATCCGTCAGAATAAACGCATGTTTTTCGAATGGGTACTAAATCGAGTGGGCTGGTCCCGTGTCGGTGGGGAATTGCGTGTTGGATAGTGGGAGAAGTGCCGTTTCCTTTGGCAAGCTGGTTTGGAACGTTGAGCATCGTGTGTTCACTGTACGTCGGTACTTTCAAAATGGCGAGTATGTCGTTCGAACGCAACGTGAGTTTCGCGTTCACTATCGTGTTCCACGTCGTGGGACAGTTCCAGACCGTAACATCATTTTGAGATGGGTGGAAGCACTCAACACAACAGGTAATGTGATGACAAAAAAACCTCCAGGGCGAAACGGTACTGTTAGAACCCCCGAAAACGTAGACAGAGTGAGAGTTGACACGCTGCAAAGCCCGTATCCTTCCGTCCGTTCCCTAGGGATCCACGCGTCCTCTATACGTCACATCTTGAAGAAGGATTTAGTGTCCCATCCTTACAAAATCCAAGTTTGTCAACAACTATTGCCAGGGGATTATGCACCACGTGTTAATTTTGCACAGCTCATGATTGAACATTGAACAGTTGGATAACAATGACATGACGATATTTATAGTGATGAAGCACATTTTAATTTACATAGATACTTCAATAACAAAATTGTCGATATTGGTCTCCAGTGAAGAAAGTTACAGTTTGGCGTGCACTAGGACCAACAATGATTATTGGTCCTTATTTTTTTAAGGATGAAAGTACTGTGAATTAAGAGCGTTACATCCACATGCTGAACAACTTTTTGTAAGGCAGCAGCGGTGGCCGCAGTAGTAGACTCTTCGGTCTCCTCATCAGTCGCCGTGCGCTGTGCGGGTTTGAATCCCGTCCCAGGAGAAATGTATCTCTTGGCTATGGATGTTGTGATTATCCGTAGGTGGTAGAAGGTCTCTGACTGTCGAACGCGGAGGTACCACCCGGCGGATGTCGTAGGCGGGGCCAGAATGTGTGCATGTTGCAGAGTCCGTGTAGCGCTCCCCCTTTCCCCTGTATCCCCCTATAGCCCCACGGTACCCCATGGGTGTTTAGGCCTTAGGCCTTCGTGGTAGTTGGAGTATAAAACTCAGAATAGTGTGGTTCCAACAAGACTGGACAACATCTCACACAGCTCGCGTTTCGTTGGAACTTCTTCGGCAAAAATTCCCAGGACGTCTCATTTCACGTCATGGCAATATTCCATGCCCCCCTCGCTCCCCGTACCTGACAACGTGTTTCTTTTATGGGGCTACCTGAAATGAAAAGTCTACCAAAGCAAGCCTCGGACCCTCGTCGATTTAAAGGAGGAAATAAGAAGAGAAATAATTCCTGCACGGATGCTGGCTTCATGCCTCCATTTCGGCTCAAGGGCGCCATATGGTCGACATCGTTTTTTGAACATAAATTTTGTTTTACTCAAAAAATGGCATGTATTTTGATATAATAAAATATTTTGACTGTACCACTCATTTAAAGAAGATGCGTTCTTTCTGACGGACCCTAGTAGGTTAGCGCTAAGTGTAACATACAGACATGTAGCCGGATACCAGATGGCAAGCTGCAGTGCGATTGGTTCTTGGGACTGCAGTGTGATCCTGTAAACCATAGTAGGTGAGTTGTGATAGTGTGGTTAGTGGCGACGGGGTGTCGAACCTACGCGGATCATAAGATGTCTACAGAATGTGTTAGCGTCGACGGGATCTTGACACAACATAAATAAAGCAGATGCGTCTTCGATGTATCGAACTATCCTCACGATAATAATTAATATTTGTTCCCCAGGTGTCGGTAACAAGTAATTCGTTTTTGGTTACAGCGTGATGCTTTGAACAGCGAAAATCCAAGATACGTCGACTTAGAGGTACGAAAGTTCCTATCTGAACACGATAAATTCATTGAACGGTTGAAACAGAAACGTGAGAAATCGTCAGAGCAAGGCGCGGCAAGCGGACAGTCGGAAGAAGCAACAAATAATTGTTAAGCCTCGTTTTATTGCTGCAAGTTGTTCAAGGGGGTATTTAAAACATGGACCCATAAACTGGGTACACCAATTTTTGTCGGAAAACCTTTTATTCGACAACAAAGAATGAGAAAACGTATTTTCTTGGGATTCAGTCGAGTCGAGTGTTGACAGGAACGGAAAAACTCTTCATATAATATTCTTAGGTATTCATGAGACCTACAAAATGAGATCACGCATAAAAAGATCCGACTAATAGCAAAAAAGTTATGACCGAAAACCGATGCAAACTGCAGGTTTTGGCACTTCTTGGTAATGTGACGATGGTTTCTCGCAAACACTTGAAACTCTTCAAATTCGTAGGATTCGTACTTCTAAATAACCACAACAAAATTGGAGTAGATTATTGTTTATCCCAAAACACCTGTCTTCCGGCCATCACAATATACAGGCTTAGTTCAAAGGGCATTTATAGCAAAATTACAATAGTTTACCTTACCTCTTGGGACAAATAAGTAAAAATTTTCAAAAAACTACTCGACCCATATACTCCAATTTTGTTGCTGTTATTTAGAAGTATGAATGCAGATTTGACGGATTGCAAGTAGTTGCGTGAAATTATCGTCGCATTACCAACAAGTGCCAAAACCTGCATTTTGCCTCGTTTCTCGGCCATAACATTCTTGATATTAGTCGCATCTTTTTACGTGGTCTCATTTTGTAGGTCTCTTAAGTACCTAAAAATCTGGTATGAAAAGTTTGTTCGTTCCTGCCAACACTTTCGATTGAATCACAAAACCACGTTTTCTCATTCTTTGTTGTCAAACAAAGTTTTCCGACAAAAATTGTATATCCATTTTATGCGTCCATGTTTTAAATACCCCGTTATACAACATGCACCAAATCATACTTTACAATTATTATCATTAGACTATTAGTTAATTAGTTGCTATAAGGTTTCTAACTAAATTATTGATGCTACTTGTTCACTTGTTTTGTGTTAAATAAAATAGTTGAGTTTTTTTTCGCCCATCATATTTCTGAAAATTGAAAGTTTGTACTTGAACTTAAAAGAGGAAAGGTAAATAACAAATAGAAAATATAATGGGCAGAATACGCAAAAAGAAAGAGAGTGAAAATTTAATCGAACTCCTAGCAGTACTTCTCAAGTTATAGGAAATTGTTGGCATGTGTCAAATTTTTAAATATCTTTATGAACACAATATTCTAAATTTGGTAACTTCATTAACGTTACAAGACTAAGTTCTATCATTGTCAGCGTTAGATCATCAATTCCATAAGCACCCGATCTTAAGCTATCTATTGCCTGTAGTATTTCATGTGGCTCGATAACTCTTCGAGAAAATTTGTTCAATGGGTTGAGTTTATGTACATTAAAAATTGAGTTTGAGAGCATATATTATACAATTAATGAATCTATATCATTAGGATACCTTAAAATACAATTGTACGGCCACCAGAAGCATTACAAAATTCATATCTAAAAGAACAAGTTTTATATTATACTTTTTCTATATTATCAAAATTGCATGATACGTTAGTTTTCAAGAAATAGTTTCATGTTTCCACACCTATTCGCTGCCGAAGAAGGGTTTAAGATCGGATGTATGTGATTATTTATATAAATGAGACAAACATAGAAATAAGGAAACCAAAACAATTTATTCCTTAAAATAAGTATTGCGCGTTATGTAGCTATAAGACTGAAATTGGTTGGTACTCATTGTATTTTTAATTGGTAATAATTTCAATTAGTAAACAATCAAATGAAAAGTAAGGTCAGGAAACTAACATCGTAGTAGATACAGTTGGCAATATTTTAAAGATTTAGAAGTTTCACAGAGGACCAAATCCTGAAAGTTTGGAATCGGAATTTGAGCTACTACTTAAATTTAAATCTTCGGTTTCGCTATCGCTATCTTCCTCTCGGCTTATTATTATTTGATCCACAACTATGCCGAGTGCTGGTTCCATTTCCATATACTGCTTCTGAAAACCTTTGGCATGCTCACATCGCTTTTTCCATTCTTCTATGGGACAAGACGAGTAAAAGTCGTCTCAAAGTTAGTCGACAGTCTTGAGATTAAAGTCTACATTTCCTCAGCCACATATTGTTTTAAAGATGCCCATACCAACTCAATTGGCTTCAAGGCGGGTGATATGGTGGCAATCTCAAAACAGAACTGCCAGTACGATCAAAGATCCTCTAGGAATAAACTCATCTTACTTATCCCGCGGCATTCGACAGCATTGTTCACACGCAGTTTCTCGTACTGGGCACCCAAACTATATAACTGCTTATCAAGTGAGTATAAAGAATATAGCCTAAGCAATTTTAAAAAAAGGTTAAAGATGAGTTTAAAGCAGTCGGATGGCTAAAATTTTACTTTATGCATATCCACAGGTAATTGATTGTTTATTTTCTCTGATAAGTGTTATATTCTAAGTTTTTTTTTCTCTCTCTCTCTATAGTTTGTGTCAATGTTTTCCAGGTCGGGTTGAAAAACAGCATAAGCAGAAACTCCACCTTTTCGTTACTGTTCCTTTTAAACCAATTATTTTGTAATCGTGTGACGAATAAAGGCCATTTATTATTATTATTATTAGAATGACCTTTTTCAGCCATTATTCTGTTTATTTCATGTTATATATGCCGGCTTATGCATTTTGATGAGGCTATACAAATCAATTTTCAACATGTCAGTGAAATGTATTTTTTTGCCTTAGTCATTTTTTCATATGATCCTTCTTAAAGTAGTAGGACATTTGTCTATCTGAACATTGTGGTACGGAGCGTTATCTATAACCAAAACACTATTTGGTGGTAGGTTGGGGTTCAGTTTATCCTGAAGCCATTTTTTATATTTTTGCTATAATAATAATGGTTTATTGGTGCTATTATACAGAACTTTTTGGGATGGGTTGGACGTGAGTAAATTTCCAGTTTTCTGGGAAGGTGCCGGATCCATAAGCTATCTGGAAGAGACGCGAAAGAACTGGAGCAAGCTCCGCTGCATACCTCTTCAGTACAATGGCAGGGATCAAAAGTCCGGACCTGAAGCTTTGTGGATGTCGAGCAACAACAGCACTCGTCTTACGGTCTTATGCCTGAATGTTACCTCCCGCATAGTGTAGGGAACCTTTTGTATTGACGGCACTTGGGCGTTGGGGGGGACGTCCATGGTGGAGTTGGCAGCAAAGATCTTGGCTAGCACTTCCGCCTTGGCCTTTGAGTCGAATACAATAGTACCATCCTGACACGTAAGTGGTGAAAAGCTACTGTGTGAGAAGTTCTTTTCAATCTGCTTGGCCAGCGTCCAGAAAGACCGACTGCCATTGCGCTGCGACATTACCCTGTGCCTAACTTTTATATCGTGCTGGTTTTTGCCATTGCGAACCGCTGCTTTATATTTGTTTCTGGACTCAACGTCGGCTTGTCTATTCTCTACAGTGGGGTTTTGTAAGAAGGTTCTGTGTACCTTGATCTTCTGCTGGCGAGCAGTGTCACAAGATTTGTTAAACGTGCCGTTGGACCCTGGTTTAGACACGTTCACTGTGTGAGGGATGTATTCCTTCATTCCGACGTAGATCATTTCGGTTATCGAAGAACAGACAGCCGACGCATCCGCGTCAGTGAAACAGACTTATCTCCAAGGAAAACTAGAGAAGAAGTCTCTGAGCCCCACCCAGTCGGCATGTCCGTAATGCGGTCTGTACGAGTTTCTACTGTCAGAACGGGTTCTGACCGAAACCTAACCTCCTCAACACCGTTTTCTGAGTTACCCAAGGGGGACAGGACAGCGGTGTTGTAAGGGACAGGATGCGTGGTCAGAAAGAGATCCAGCAGGCTACTGGCATGTGGCGAGACGCGAGGGAAAAGAGTAGGGCGCGTCACCAGCTGGGTCAGCCCTTGAGTAAGAGCGAACGCTTCGACTGCACGACCTGCTGCATCGGTTTTGTTTGAGCCCAACCAAAGCTGATTATGGGCATTGAAATCACCGAGAAGAACTACCTCTGAAGCGGGGTGATTGATGTTCAGGAAGTCGAAGGGAAAGCGATAAAGGCTGCAGATAAATTTGGGTGATGTTTTGGAGTTGAGGCGAAGCCACAGAATGTCCTTCCGGTCTGATTCCAAAGAAACATCTCTGCAGCAGGAAAGACTGCTGCGGACAAAAGCCACAACTCCCCCGTACTTTCTCAGATTGAAGTGCACCTGGTAGTTTGGGAAAAGCTAGCGGGTGGTACCGCCTCGGTCGATTGGTCTTTGTCTACCACCTTTTTTTTACGTGTTAGTGATATTAAATAGAAATAAAGTGGCCCGTTGGCGGACTTGTACCGCTACCCGGCAATCGGCACTGGAGTCTTCCTTAACGCGTATACAATCACTTGAACGAGAAGAAGTTGTGTACTGGAATCGCATCCTTATCTTCATTGTATGTAAAAGCACGAAAAGAAAATTATTTTTTTCTGCTATGATTATCCATATAGCTTAGTGTGAAGTGGTGAAGTGCCATGTGACGGTAAGCTTTCTAAAAGGTTATTAACAACGGTGGTGAAAAATGAATTAAGCTGTTAGCGTTTAGTGTTGTGGTAACTACAAGGTGCATTTTGCCCTAAATTTCAAGCCTTAACTTTTCTCAACGGTTCTCTAGAAGTTTGGCCATAAAAAATAACGGATTCTTGTTTCTCTTACTATAAAACATCCCTATACCGAGTCTTATGCCAAAATCGGGAATACTTCTCAAGCAATAAGGAAAAATAGAAAATACAATTGTAACTTTGACGCAAACTATCAACTTTTGGACCTAGGTATGCTTAGATCAATTCTCATATATTTCGGTCTGTAGTATCTTCAGTTTCGAGATTTCACAACCTTTCGCAGACACCCTGTATAGATCACTACCAATACCAATTGACATTTGAACGAAACATTTTGTTGATCAAAGGTATGGTAATATTTTATGAATAAACAGGGTGATTTCTGTGATAAATGCATCAATATGAAAATTAAATCAAGAGTGTCTTATTCATTTATTATTAATGTGGTTGCCCCCGCTGGATACAGAACCGACGCCTCTGTTTCTATATTGGTAACCGCATTATGAAGTGCTCATCGTAATTAAATGTTGGGCACAGTGGCGTATTCAGGGGGGCTTTGGAGCTCTTGGACTCCCCCTTCCAATAACGCCACGGCTTGGTATATTTCTCTTTACATATTATAGCAGTCAATACTTTTTGTGAAATGTAAACCCTCCCCTAGCCTATTTACAAAAATTAGGTTTCCTCCGTCTATCTCCGGAGTTACTTTGAATCTCGAAACTTTCTGAGCGGATTATGTTGATTATCCAAATACACAACTTTGCTCTCATTCAAACAACTTCGTATAGTTACAGTTTCCAAGATCCCAATGGTGAGGATTGAATTTGAAACACCCTGTATAGTGTTAGTAGTGGAAAAAATGTATACATACCTCGCACGATAAAGCTATTATTGATCGGGCACAATATATCCTTCACCGCTACGCGCCTTGGGATATAAGAATGCTCGATTTATAATGTACCACTTCTCATCCTAGGTATGTAGTATACTATTTCAAGAGTTGAGTTTTGAGCGAATGGAACTTCATGGCAACAGAGAATTTGATGCATGTGTGATTCGTAGTTTATAACATCACAGTGTTGGTTTTAAATTTCAATTCCAAATCGCCACGCCCAGACTTTCTTATTCATTAATACCTATTTATTATTTTCGTTTCTTGGTTGAACCAACGACTCCTGCAGTCATTCTCGATTATTTATCTTCATAAACATTTTATAATAACTAATACGCGGGGTTCGCAGGTTATTTGAGATTAGGAAAGATTTGAATTTCGTACTAACAGTCCTCTACTGATACTAAGCAATCATGTAATCTATCGCGTAAGGCCCTGAAAGCTTCAAAAGCCATAAACGCGATTATTAGGTGATAGGTATGGCAACTCGGCAACATTGGCGGCGTTGTCGCAAGCGCAGACAAATTCAAAATCCGCGTTTCTTCGTATGCTTTCGTGTTATCTCGTGTTCTACAAAGTGGAGATATGTAAAGTCGGCCACTCACGTACAGTTTCAACTGACAGTTTGAACTGTTCAGTGAAAACTGTGCAGTTAAACCTCAACGTGTGTGGGTGTGTCAGTCGCAGTTTAACTCAACTGGACAGTTAAACTGAGACAAATAAATTGTCAATTGTTTTAACTGAATGGTTCAACTGATCGTTGCGTGTGTGGGGGTTCGACTGCACAGTTCTCAGTTCAAGTTGTGTCTCAGCACCGTGCGGGTGGTTTTTTGAAGATGTCGCGGAATAAGCCAAACCCAGTGATCGTAGATTTTATTGCGATATACAGATCGGAACCTTGTCTTTGGCAAGTAAAGAGCCCGGAATATCATAATCGTACGAAGAAGGATGCTGCATATGCCAAATTGGCACAAAAGTTGGTGGAAGTTGAACCTGGTGCTGACAAGAAGTCTGTGATCAATAAAATTAACAGTTTGAGAACTGCTTTTCGGAAGGAGAAAAAGAAAGTTGATGCATCATACAAGTCTGGAACATCAACGGATAGCATTTACAAGCCGGTACTTTGGTATTATGACATGTTTGATTTTTTGCAAGATCAAGAGATTTCAAGGACCTCAATTTCAAATTTGGATGGTGAAAGTGGCGAGGTAAGAAAAACACGATATTATGAATACATGGAAAAACAAATTTTCTATTTATTTTTGTAAACATCAAATAATGTCTTTATTTGTTTTTTAAAATGTGATTCTTCTGCCATGGGACTTCGCCATCATTCATGAAGTAGTCCATAAAGCGTTGTCTGATTTCTTTTGCGTCATTGCCAATATTTCCTCGATTTTGACGATTTAGTGGAATCATATTTGATTGTGAACTATCGCACCCAATAGAAATAAGAGATCCATCGTTACTATTTTCTTGATACCTTAAGTTTGCAGGAGCGTATGTACTAGATTGATGTTCAATCAAAAAGTTATGTAAAGCACAAGCAGCCATTACAATTTTTTCTATATTTTCTGGTTCTAAATTAATTGGAGACTGAAAGATACGAAATCGTGAAGCAAGTATACCAAAAACGTTTTCGACAATATGTCTTGCTCGTGATAATCGATAGTTAAAAACCTCTTTGTCTGCTGAATCTAATAGTCCCTGCCTGAATGGTTTCAAAATATCAGTTCTGAGAGGAAACGCATCATCCGCAACGAATACATACGGAACGTTTTGGAAATTGTCACAAATATCATCAGGTTGGGGAATATTTAAATCCTCGTTCACCAGCTTCTCAAAGAAAGTTGTATTCTGAAGAACACCGCCATCGGAAATCCGCCCATTTGTTCCAAAATCTGCTAGTAGGAATCGGTATTTTGCGTCAACTGTAGCCAGAAGAACCATACTGTGTTTGCCTTTGTAATTATAATAATACGATCCAGAGTTTTGTGGCGGAATTATATCAATATGCTTCCCATCTAAGGCACCGATGCAGTGTGGGAAATGCCATCTTTCCTCAAACGAAGCTGCAATCTCCTTCCATTTTTCTCCTGAGTTGGGAAACTGAAACAGGCAACAATAGCTAAATATGTTATGTTAAAGTAAATTAGATGTTTTATTTTTTTTTGTCAATCCTAGTACACAGTTGCTTCTATTTTTCAGGAATCCGTTGACAATGCACTCCCAACTGAAGAAACAGGAGAGGCTGATGATGTTGTAGAAATGAGAACTGCGGTTGTTGAAGAAGTGTCAAGAAAATCTCAACAGCCAATAACCTCAAGACCTGGTTGTAATAAAAAACAAAAGAAAAATGAGGATCTCACAACAGAAACCTTGATGACAGTGCGTGACCATTTCAAAACACCCAAGGAACAACTTGACCGCTTTGATCTGTTGGGAAAAACTATTGCTGTAAAGTTGAGAGGTTTGGAAAAACGCCAGGCTCTCATTGCGGAGAAAAAGATAGGTGACATATTATTCGAGGCGGAAATGGGTTCTCTAAACACAGCGCCAATATACCGTTATGCTTCATCACCAAGTCAGAGTCCTTATACTACCCCATGTCCCACGCCATCTCCAACATATGGACAAGGTTCATGTACAGCGTTAGCAAGTCAATCTCCTAATGTCACTCCATGTCCCACGCCATCTCCAACATACGGCCAAGGTTCATTTAGACAGTTCCATAATGATGGAAGTGGACAATTATCCTTTTCTCAGGACAACACAGCATCGACTTATTTTTCTCAATTTGATGCCAATTCATGAAAATGTACCCTTTCATAAAAATAAAAGCAGTTTGCCAAAAACAACTGTTTTTCGTTTCTCTTATTCTAAATTAAGAAGAAAATACGTACCGCCATATACTTCTTTAAAACTGCGTACAAGGCGTTGCACGTTTCTGGGATAATTTTACCAAGACATTGAGGTGATATTCTAGTCGAGAATTTGAGACACTCATACGACCGTCCTGTTGCCAGAAATCTCAAGGTAGCAGTTAATCGTTCGTGTGGAGATATTGCTGCCCTCATAACTGTATCTTTCTTCTTATTCAAAGGAGAAACCAGCAAAAGCAACTTTTGATACACTGCTTCTGTCATGCGCAAATAATTAAGGAAATCTAATGGTTCCCCTCTCAATTCTTTTAATAAGCTGATGTCCGAAGATTGATTTCGTCTCTGTAACCACTTCTTGCACCACTGTTTACGCTTTTTACATTGTTTACTTTTTTGTAAAACTACACAAAGTATACCCAGAGCGGCCAAATCGTTCTGCTCTGTTCGATGCATTATTTAAAACTGATAGATTGACCTGTATGTGTGTGTGCAAACAGACTGAACAGTTTAACTGCACAGTTTTCACTGAACAGTTCAAACTGTCAGTTGAAACTGTACGTGAGTGGCCGACTTTAGTAAAACTTTCAGTTATAATTAATTTCAACAATATTAAACGGTAATACACCAACTCAGCTCCAGTAAAGCCATGCAATTTGAGGTTATCACCGCTAGACAGAGGCCAAGTCGTCGAAAGACGAGCAGAAGGTTTAAGATAGGGTTTGTTGTTACCTTCCAAGTTATTCTTAAAAGAGGCTCAGGTTTGTCATTGCATTACTGGCATTATATGTACCCACTAAAATGATCATTTTTAGAGAGAAATGTTCCCCAAATGATATTATATACTTGTTAAAACTTGTATTGAGAGTAAGAAAATCTTCTCATATAAAGGGTGATTCAGAAAGCAATTGCATTACTTCAAGGGCAACAGTTTTCTATTATCCTTATTCATAAGTAAAACTCTGTAAATGCAGATATGTTAATAAATAGCCACGGATTTCAAACGCCGCTTTACGAGTAGTGAAACTGCAAGCCTCTGTAGCTCAGTGGCGGAGCACTGGACTTGTCAACCAGGGGGCCGATTGTGGTATACTTTTTTATTTTTTTTAACACGATTTTTAACACGCTTCTATTAGCGTGGCCTGCTTGTATGTAACCGAATCTTTGAACATAATTTTCACCAATTTCCAGAAGTTTGAATAAATAGAAACTTCGCACACGTATCAAGGACTGATAACAATGCAATAATTTGATAACAGTTTTCCATTATCCTTATTAGGACCGCCAGGATTGATAAATTTTTTTATAGATACTCTGTAGGGGAGTAAGAGAGATAGAGCTATCGCGCGATCTGCGAAAAGAGCTGGAATCTAACATAAAGCTAAAAAAATGAGTTCTATTTAGTCTATGTAGTTTTATGTCCCATACGTCATACATAAACGTACACGTAGGCAGTCTGTCACACGATGTGGATTGCCTGCAATTCTGTACCCACTTCCTTTATTTTGCTTTCCCTATATTTGTTTTTGTATACAGCAGGTACCGACTGGTATATCACCGTCATTAATGTATCATCGGACAGCAGTAAGGGAACCACAGCTTATATGTATATAATTGAATATTGAATTAAAATGTCAGGAAATGAGACTTCAAGTTCAGGGGTGAAATAGAAAAATATTCAGACTTGTATAAACAAGAATGGTAAAAGGAGTTTCAATGATGGTTGCAAAGGAGTTTAAGGAGCCACTAGATGTCCTCAGAAAAACCGGTTGCCTTTGTGTGCGCAAAACTAAAACATACTTTTTCTATAGAGGGCGCTGCGTGACACTAGCAGCAAGTCTCCATCGCTGACCTTGTCAGGGCCCTGATTTCCTTCTAGCGATTTTGCCCTTGAATTTCAATGACACTGTCTACAAATTTCGTCCTTCAATACAACAAGTAAACATCATTCTAAACGTAAAATGTAAAATAAGCACACTCTTATGGCCTACTATGTGGTAGATACAAAACGGACTTTTACCAGAAATGCATTTATCTTCTATATGCCTAATAATGAGTTATTACTCAAGATAGAATTACGGATGTATGTGTTACAGAAGTCTACATCCCCGTTTCCACTCTTTACACGGTGATAAAAGGTAAAGACCGTTGGATAGACCACTGAAAATGGGTGACAAAGATTACTGTAACACTTATACATAATGAGACGTCCAAAAACCCATTATCAAATTATCACAATGACCTGGCTGGCTGTAGAATACAAAGAACATTCAAGATTAGTGTCTTTATGTATTTTTTATATTACAGGGATTCGTTTAATCAGGGTGATAGACTCCGCTTACTGAAACTGGTAAAGATCGAGTACCGTAAGCTGAAGGTCAGAAGAGAAATCATTGAAGACCCTTGGGAGCCCATACTCATCAATGTTCTATGGACCTCGTTTCCTGGCAATAGTACGGCCAAATTAATCGCGCAGTGGAAGCGGTTGACAGTAAGTTGACACATTTCACTAGAATCATTCGTGTGATTTGGCTACTTTGTGAGTTTATTTTTGTTACAAAAGTACTATGCAGACTAGATTAAACGTTTGAAAAACTAAAATCATATTTTTTCGAGAGCCCATATACCGTTATATACAAAAATTAAGGCTCTTAATAACGTTTATTTAAGGCTTAATATAGACTAATATCCTCTTCAAATGATTATTTTTTTAATGAATTTTCTGTAGACAAAATTCACATTTCTAAGACTTTTTTTAAATATGAACAAGAGATTGTTAAAAATATTCAATTTTCTGTAAATAAGGGTTTGTTCAACTTTTGAGAAAATTTATTAATTTTACGAATAACAAAAAACGAAAAACTCTTAAAAAAAGCCCTTGGCGCTAGCCCCGTCCCAACTGTGTATTTTAATTTAAAAGTTATATTGTTCAGCGACTTTATTTACATAAAGCGCGTTATGGCTTTTACAAAAAGATTTCTAGAAAAATGTTGTGTCTTTAATAATTTTAGACGTTTATAATCCCATTTTTTGTTTATTTCTCAAAAATCGAAAGACAGTTGTACTGTAGAGCCTTGACACAAAAGTGAGTATGTTATGCATTACCGTTTTTAATCACCTTTGTGTTTTGTTATGTATCTGCGAAAGGTTGCGAAATCTCGAAACTGGAGATACTGCAGACCAAAATATACTAAGTGACATATAAATCCGAACACCCAGTTTAAATGGTTTTATTTTAATAAAATTTTGTATCAGTACTTAATGAACCATAATAAGTAAATGATAAAAATTTCAAAACGATTGCACTGCTTTAAAGCCCTTTGACCTTTAATAATGTGTGGATGCACCCTGATGTGCTACGCATTCTCCAACGCGCCTAGGCATGCTTCTGATCAGGTGGTCAATGTCCTCCTGTGATATCTCATTCCAGGCAACCACCAACTCCTCTCGAAGTGCTTCTAGAGTCTGAGGAGGACGTTGCAAATTGAGTAATCTCCTACCCATCATATCCCACACGTGCTCAATTGGGGATAAGTCGGGAGATCTTGGTGGCCATGGTAACAATGTGACATCATTATGTTGAAAGAAGTCTATTGTGACTCTTGCAACATGTGGTCCGGCATTATCTTGTTGGAAAGTTGGATCTGCCAGGGTGTCAAGATAGGGTAAAAGATGGGGTTCTAGAACTTCGTGGATATAACGCTGCGCGTTCATGTTACCTCTGATGAAGATTAAAGGTGACCTGGAACCATAAGCTATAGCACCCCAAACCATAACTCCAACAGTGTGATGAACATGTCTTTCAACAAAAAACTGCGGATTCCTCCTTTCACCACGTCGCCTTCTAACCCTGGCACGACGATCGTGCATGCCTAAACAAAATCGAGGCTCGTCACTAAAGACAATACTGTTCCATTCCTAATCCCAGAGTGACCGTTGTCTGCACCACTCAAGGCGATTACGTCGATGTAAGGGTTAGAAGGCGACGTGGTGAAAGGAGGAATCCACAGTTTTTTGTTGAAAGACATGTTCATCACACTGTTGGAGTTATGGTTTGGGGTGCTATAGCTCATGGTTCCAGGTCACCTTTAATCTTCATCAGAGGTAACATGAACGCGCAGCGTTATATCCACGCAGTTCTAGAACCCCATCTTTTACCCTATCTTAACACCCTGGCAGATCCAACTTTCCAACAAGATAATGCCCGGCCACATGTTGCAAAAGTCACAATAGACTTCTTTCAACATAATTATGTCACATTGTTACCATGGCCACCAAGATCTCCCGACTTATCCCCAATTGAGCACGTGTGGGATATGATGGGTAGGAGATTGCTCAATTTGCAACGTCCTCCTCAGACTCTAGAAGCACTTCGAGAGGAGTTGGTGGTTGCCTGGAATGAGATACGACAGGAGGACACTGACCACCTGATCAGAAGCATGCCTAGGTGCGTTGGAGAATGCGTAGCACATCAGGGTGCATCCACACATTATTAAAGGTCAAAGGGCTTTAAAGCAGTGCCATCATTTTGAAATTTTTATCATTTACTTATTATGCTTCATTAAGTACTTATACAAAATTTTATTAAAATCAAACCATTTAAACTGGGTGTTCGGATTTATATGTCACTTAGTATATGTGAATTGACCTAAACATACCTTAATCCAAAAGTTGATAGTTTGCGAGATACAGGATGTCAAAGTTACAATTTTATTTTCTATGTTTCCTTATTGCTAGAGAAGTATTTCACATTTTGGATGGTATATGGAGGTTTTCTAGTATGTGAAACAAGAATCCGTTATTTTTTATTGGCTTAGTAGCAACTCTACTCAGATATTAGGCAACTTGATTATTATGTTATGAAAAGGTTTTATCATCATGGTACAAATAATGCATTGGAATTTATAAAAACAAATATCTCGACAACTATTAGCTTTGAACACTTCTAATAAGTAAACCTTCTTTATTGTGGAAATATAAGAAAATAAGCTTTTTTGGACAGTTGTTGTATATAGGATAGCACAAAAAAGTTATTATAAGTCATATACCGAAATAGTGCTGTAATAACGGGTTCTTGTTTCTCATACTAGAAAACCCCCCTATACCGAGTTTTATGCCAAAATCTGAAATACTGCTCGAGCAATAAGGAACAATAGAAAATAAAATTGTAACATTGATGATGATGATTGTATCTCGCAAACTATCAACTTTTGGACTAAGGTATGTTTAGGTCAATTCACACATTTGGGTCTGTAATACCTCCAGTTTCAAGATTTCCCATCCTTTAGCAGAACCCTGTATAGCCTCTTTTAATTTGAGGCCTTTGTTTTTGTCTTTCAAAAGGCTTTTAAAACTATTGCATACATTTCTACTTTCTTGGCAAGGGTCAGTCCAACTTAAAGTGGTCTGTCTATGGATGTCATCTACCTAAAGCTAAAGCACATTGTGTCACCCCCTATGATGAGAAAATACATCTGCTTTATTTACATTATGTTAAGTGGTTCGAGTGATGCTGAAAATGTGATAAATGAAGTGAGTCTGAGGTTGTACGTTGTATGAGCCTGTCCTTAAGATGCTAAGTCTAGCTAGATAAAGGCAGACGATCAGGCCAATGTGCCATCAGCTAATACGAAATATCATGCTTTGCCCTAGCTCTAGTGGAACGTTGATGCAGGTTACAACTTGAAAAATAAATAAAAATCAATATCATTGTGTTGAAATCGGTAGGTTTTTCAGTACATGGAAATGATATGAAATAGGATCCGTCAGAATAAACGCATGTTTTTCGAATGGGTACTAAATCGAGTGGGCTGGTCCCGTGTCGGTGGGGAAGGGCGTGTTGGATAGTGGGAGAAGTGCCGTTTCCTTTGGCAAGCTGGTTTGGAACGTTGAGCATCGTGTGTTCACTGTACGTCGGTACTTTCAAAATGGCGAGTATGTCGTTCGAACGCAACGTGAGTTTCGCGTTCACTATCGTGTTCCACGTCGTGGGACAGTTCCAGACCGTAACATCATTTTGAGATGGGTGGAAGCACTCAACACAACAGGTAATGTGATGACAAAAAAACCTCCAGGGCGAAACGGTACTGTTAGAACCCCCGAAAACGTAGACAGAGTGAGAGTTGACACGCTGCAAAGCCCGTATCCTTCCGTCCGTTCCCTAGGGATCCACGCGTCCTCTATACGTCACATCTTGAAGAAGGATTTAGTGTCCCATCCTTACAAAATCCAAGTTTGTCAACAACTATTGCCAGGGGATTATGCACCACGTGTTAATTTTGCACAGCTCATGATTGAACATTGAACAGTTGGATAACAATGATATGACGGTATTTATAGTGATGAAGCACATTTTAATTTACATAGATACTTCAATAACAAAATTGTCGATATTGGTCACCAGTGAAGAAAGTTACAGTTTGGCGTGCGGGTTCGAATCCCGTCCCAGGAGAAATGTATCTCTTGGCTATGGATGTTGTGATTATCCGTAGGTGGTAGACTGTCGAACGCGGAGGTACCACCCGGCGGATGTCGTAGGCGGGGCCAGAATGTGTGCATGTTGCAGAGTCCGTGTAGCGTTCCCCCTTTCCCCTGTATCCCCCTATAGCCCCACGGTACCCCATGGGTGTTTAGGCCTTAGGCCTTCGTGGTAGTTGGAGTATAAAACTCAGAATAGTGTGGTTCCAACAAGACTGGGCAACATCTCACACAGCTCGCATTTCGTTGGAACTTCTTCGGCAAAAATTCCCAGGGCGTCTCATTTCACGTCATGGCAATATTCCATGCCCCCTGCTCCCCGTACCTGACAACGTGTTTTTTTTTTATGGGGCTATCTGAAATGAAAAGTTTACCAAAGCAAGCCTCGGACCCTCGTCGATTTAAAGGAGGAAATAAGAAGAGAAATAATTCCTGCACGGATGCTGGCTTCATGCCTGCATTTCGGCTCAAGGGCGCCATATGGTCGACATAGTTTTTTGAACATAAATTTTGTTTTACTCAAAAAACGGCATGTATTTTGATATAATAAAATATTTTGACTGTACTACTCATTTAAAGAAGATGCGTTCTTTCTGACGGACCCTAGTAGGTTAGCGCTAAGTGTAACATACAGACATGTAGCCGGATACCAGTTGGCATGCTGTAGTGCGATTGGTCCTTGGGACTGCAGTGTGATGCTGTAAACCATAGTAGGTGAGTTGTGATAGTGTGGTTAGTGGCGACGGGGTGTCGAACCTACGCGGATCATAAGATGTCTACAGAATGTGTTAGCGTCGACGGGATCTTGACACAACATAAATAAAGCAGATGCGTCTTCGATGTATCGAACTATCCTCACGATAATAATTAATATTTGTTCCCCAGGTGTCGGTAACAAGTAATTCGTTTTTGGTTACAGCGTGACGCTTTGAACAGCGAAAATCCAAGATACGTCGACTTAGAGGTACGAAAGTTCCTATCTGAACACGATAAATTCATTGAATGGTTGAAACAGAAACGTGAAAAATCGTCAGAGCAAGGCGCGGCAAGCGGACAGTCGGAAGAAGCAACAAATAATTGTTAAGCCTCGTTTTATTGCTGCAAGTTGTTCAAGGGGGTATTTAAAACATGGACCCATAAACTGGGTACACCAATTTTTGTCGGAAAACCTTTTATTCGACAACAAAGAATGAGAAAACGTATTTTCTTGGGATTCAGTCGAGTCGAGTGTTGACAGGAACGGAAAAACTCTTCATATAATATTCTTAGGTATTCATGAGACCTACAAAATGAGATCACGCATAAAAAGATCCGACTAATAGCAAAAAAGTTATGACCGAAAACACAATTGGAGTAGATTGGTCAAGTAGTTTTTGAGAATTTTTTATTGTTTATCCCAAAACACCTGTCTTCCGGCCATCACAATATACAGGCTTAGTTCAAAGGGCATTTATAGCAAAATTACAATAGTTTACCTTACCTCTTGGGACAAATAAGTAAAAATTTTCAAAAAACTACTCGACCCATATACTCCAATTTTGTTGCTGTTATTTAGAAGTATGAATGCAGATTTGACGGATTGCAAGTAGTTGCGTGAAATTATCGTCGCATTACCAACAAGTGCCAAAACCTGCATTTTGCCTCGTTTCTCGGCCATAACATTCTTGATATTAGTCGCATCTTTTTACGTGGTCTCATTTTGTAGGTCTCTTAAGTACCTAAAATCTGGTATGAAAAGTTTGTTCGTTCCTGCCAACACTTTCGATTGAATCACAAAACCACGTTTTCTCATTCTTTGTTGTCAAACAAAGTTTTCCGACAAAAATTGTATATCCATTTTATGCGTCCATGTTTTAAATACCCCGTTATACAACATGCACCAAATCATACTTTACAATTATTATCATTAGACTATTAGTTAATTAGTTGCTTTAAGGTTTCTAACTAAATTATTGATGCTACTTGTTCACTTGTTTTGTGTTAAATAAAATATCCAAAAAATATGGCAGCATTTTCATTTCGTCCAAACCTTTAATGATAAAATCAGTTTGTATCAGTTTTAACTTTCAATGCCAAAAAGGCAACAGTTTTGAAGGATGTGAGTTTTTTTTCGCCCATCATATTTCTGAAAATTGAAAGTTTGTACTTGAACTTAAAAGAGGAAAGGTAAATAACAAATAGAAAATATAATGGGCAGAATCCGCAAAAAGAGAGAGAGTGAAAATTTAATCGAACTCCTAGCAGTACTTCTCAAGTTATAGGCGGTTATAGAATTAATAGACAGACCGGCAAACAGACCGACAAACTGACCGACAGACAGACCTACCGAAATGAGTGACATGGTTTTTCGTGATGTACAGCTCCTCAAGTGTAGGAAGAGGAAGAGGTATGAGGATTTGGCGAGGTTGCGCACACGAGAGAGGAAGAACGCATTCGGAGGAAGAGAGATGGCACGTACAATACGTGCCATTCGATCTCGAGTGGTACAGTCGGCGTCCTAAATTAATCGAATAATTTCAATAATGGAATACGTATTATGTGCCTTTTTAAACCGAAATTGTTGGCATGTGTCAAATTTTTAAATATCTTTGTGAACACAATATTCTAAATTTGGTAACTTCATTAACGTTACAAGACTAAGTCATTGTCAGCGTTAGATCATCAATTCCATAAGCACCCGATCTTAAGCTATCTATTTCCTGTAGTATTTCATGTGGCTCGATAACTCTTCGAGAAAATTTGTTCAATGGGTTGAGTTTATGTACATTAAAAATTGAGTTTGAGAGCATATATTATACAATTAACGAATCTATATCATTAGGATATCTTAAAATACAATTGTACGTCCACCAGAAGCATTTAAAAATTCATATCTAAAAGAACGAGTTTTAAATTCTACTTTTTCTATATTTTCAAAATTGCATGATACATTAGTTTTTAAGGAATAGTTTCATGTTTCCACACCTATTCGCTGCCGAAGAAGGGTTTAAGATCGGATGTATGTGATTATTTATATAAATGAGACAAACATAGAAATAAGGAAACCAAAACAATTTATTCCTTAGAATAAGCATTGCGCGCTATAAGACTGAAAATGATTGGTACTCATTGTATTTTTAATTGGTAATAATTTCAATTAGTAAACAATCAAATGAAAAGTAAGGTCAGGAAACTAACATCGTAGTAGATACAGTTGGCAATATTTTAAAGATTCAGAAGTTTCACAGAGGACCAAATCCTGAAAGTTCGGAATCGGAATTTGAGCTACTACTTAAATTTAAATCTTCGGTTTCGCTATCGCTATCTTCCTCTCGGCTTATTATTATTTGATCCACAACTATGCCGAGTGCTGGTTCCATTTCCATATACTGCTTCTGAAAACCTTTGGCATGCTCACATCGCTTTTTCCATTCTTCTATGGGACAAGACGAGTAAAAGTCGTCTCAAAGTTAGTCGACAGTCTTGAGATTAAAGTCTACATTTCCTCAGCCACATATTGTTTTAAAGATGCCCATACCAACTCAATTGGCTTCAAGGCGGGTGATATGGTGGCGATCTCAAAACAGAATGACCTTTTTCAGCCATTATTCTGTTTATTTAATGTTATATATGCCGGCTTATGCATTTTGATGAGGCTATACAAATCAATTTTCAACATGTCAGTGAAATGTATACTAAGTGACATATAAATCCGAACACCCAGTTTAAATGGTTTTATTTTAATAAAATTTTGTATAAGTACTTAATGAAGCATAATAAGTAAATGATAAAAATTTCAAAATGATTGCACTGCTTTAAAGCCCTTTGACCTTTAATAATGTGTGGATGCACCCTGATGTGCTACGCATTCTCCAACGCGCCTAGGCATGCTTCTGATCAGGTGGTCAATGACCTCCTGAGGTATCTCATTCCAGGCAACCACCAACTCCTCTCGAAGTGCTTCTAGAGTCTGAGGAGGACGTTGCAAATTGAGCAATCTCCTACCCATCATATCCCACAAGTGCTCAATTGGGGATAAGTCGGGAGATCTTGGTGGCCATGGTAACAATGTGACATCATTATGTTGAAAGAAGTCTATTGTGACTCTTGCAACATGTGGTCGGGCATTATCTTGTTGGAAAGTTGGATCTGCCAGGGTGTCAAGTTAGGGTAAAAGATGGAGTTCCAGAACTTCGTGGATATAACGCTGCGCGTTCATGTTACCTCTGATGAAGATTAAAGGTGACCTGGAACGATAAGCTATAGCACCCCAAACCATAACTCCAAGAGTGTGATGAACATGTCTTTCAACAAAAAACTGTGGATTCCTCCTTTCACCACGTCGCCTTCTAACCCTGGCACGACCATCGTGCATGCCTAAACAAAATCGAGACTCGTCACTAAAGACAATACTGTTCCATTCCTGATCCCAGAGTGACCGTTGTCTGCACCACTCAAGGCGATTACGTAGGTGTAAGGGTTAGAAGGCGACGTGGTGAAAGGAGGAATCCACAGTTTTTTGTTGAAAGACATGTTCATCACACTGTTGGAGTTATGGTTTGGGGTGCTATAGCTTATGGTTCCAGGTCACCTTTAATCTTCATCAGAGGTAACATGAACGCGCAGCGTTATATCCACGAAGTTCTAGAACCCCATCTTTTACCCTATCTTGACACCCTGGCAGATCCAACTTTCCAACAAGATAATGCCCGACCACATGTTGCAAGAGTCACAATAGACTTCTTTCAACATAATGATGTCACATTGTTACCATGGCCACCAAGATCTCCCGACTTCTCCCCAATTGAGCACGTGTGGGATATGATGGGTAGGAGATTGCTCAATTTGCAACGTCCTCCTCAGACTCTAGAAGCACTTCGAGAGGAGTTGGTGGTTGCCGGGAATGAGATACCACAGGAGGACATTGACCACCTGATCAGAAGCATGCCTAGGCGCGTTGGAGAATGCGTAGCACATCAGGGTGCATCCACACATTATTAAAGGTCAAAGGGCTTTAAAGCAGTGCAATCATTTCGAAATTTTTATCATTTACTTATTCTGCTTCATTAAGTACTTATACAATATTTTATTAAAATCAAACCATTTAAACTGGGTGTTCGGATTTATATGTCACTTAGTATATTTTTTTTGCCTTAGTCATTTTTTCATATGATCCTTCTTAAAGTAGTAGGACATTTGTCTA